CCATTTCTTCCAGGTTATCCAGTTTGTTAGCATGTAGATTTTCATGGTATTCTCTAATAATTCTTTGTATTTCTGTGGTGTCTGTTGTGATTTTTCCTTTCTCATTTCTCATTCTGTCTTTGTGTGTATATTCTATTTTTCTCTTAAGAAGTCTGGCTAGGGGTTTATCTATTTGGTTTATTTTTTTTAAAGAACCAGCTCTTGGTTTCATTAATTTTTTTCTATTGTTTTGTTCTCAATTTTATTTATTTCTTCTCTTATCTTTATTATGTCCTTCCTTCTGCTGACTTTGGCCTCATTTGTTCTTTTTCCAGTTTCAATAATTGTGAATTTAGACTATTCATTTGGGATTGTTCTTCCTTCTTTAAATAGGCCTAGATTGCTATATACTTTCCTCTTAGAACTGCCTTTACTGTGTCCCACAGAAGTTGGGACGTTGTGCTGTTGTTTTCATTTGTCTCCATATATTGTTTGATCTCTGTTTTAATTTGGTCATTAATCCTTTGATTACTTAGGAGCATGTTGTTAAGCCTGCATGTGTTTGTGAGCCTTTTTGTTTTATTTCTAGTCTTATACTTTGTGATCTGAGAAGTTGGTTGGTAGAATTTCAGTCTTTTTGAATTTACTGAGGCTCTTTCTGGGGCCAAGTATGTGGTCTATTCTGGAAAATGTTCCATGTGCACTTGGGAAGAATGTGTATCCATGTGCACTTGAGAAGAATGCTGCTTTTGGGTGTAGACTTCTGTAGATGTCTGTTAGGTCCATTTGTTCTAGTGTGTTGTTCAGTGCCTCTGGGTCCTTACTTATTTTCTGTCTTGTAGATCTGTCCTTTGGAGTGGTGTGTTGAAGTCTCCTAAAATGAATGCATTGCATTCTGTTTCCTCCTTCAATTTTGTTAGTATTTGTTTCACATATTAGGTGCTGCTATGTTGAGTGCACGTATATATGAGTGCATATATATTTATAATGGTTATATCCTCTTGTTGGACCAACCCCTTTATCATTATGTAATGTCCTTCTTTATCTCTTGTTACTTTCTTTGTTTTGAAGTCTGTTTTGTCTGATAAAAGTACTGCAACATCTGCTTTTTTCTCCCTATTGTTTGCATGAAATATCTTTTTCCATCCCTTCCTTTTTAGTCTATCTATGTCTTTGGGTTTGACGTGAGTCTCTTTTTAGCAGCATTATAGATGGGTGTTGCTTTTTTATCCATTCTATTACTCTGTGTCTTTTGATTGGTGCATTCAGTCCGTTTACATTTAGGTTGATTATCGATAGATATTTACTTATTGCCATTGCAGGCTTTGGATTCATGGTTACCAAAGGTTCAAGGGTAGATTCTTTACTATCTAACCATCTAACTTAACTCACTTATTATGCTATTATAAACACAGTCTGATGATTCTTTCTTTCTCTCTCTTCCTTTTCTTCCTCCTCCTGTCTTTATCTGTTAGGTATTTTTTTCTGTACTCTTTTGTTTTTCCCTTGACTGATTTTGTGGGTAGCTGATTTTATTTTGCATTTACTTAGTATGTGGTTGGTCTGCTTTCTTTGCTGTGATTTTATTTTCTCTGTTGACATCCATTTTAACCTTAGTAGCCCTTCCATTTACAGCAGTCTCTTTAAAATATACTGTAGATGTGGTTTGTGGGATCTAAGTTCCCTCAACTTTTCCTTATCTGTGAATTGTTTAATCCCTCTTTCAAATTTAAATGGTAATCTTGCTGGATACAGTATTCTTGGTTTTGATGCAATTCTGTTTCATTGCATTAAATATATTACGCCATTCTCTTCTGGCTTGTAAGGTTTCTTTTGAGAAGTCTGATGATAGCCTGATGGGTTTTCCTTTGTAGGTGATCTTTTTTCTCTCTCTGGCTGCTTTTAATACTCTGACCTTGTCTTTGATCTTTGCCATTTTAATTATTGTATATCTTGGTGTTGTCCTCATTGGGTCCCTTGTGTTGGGAGATCTGTGGACTTCCATGATCGAAGAGAATATTTCCTTCCCCAGCTTGGGGAAGTTTTCAGCAATTACTTCTTCAAAGACACTTTCTCTCTCTTTTTCTCTCTCTTCTTCTTCTGGTACCCCTATAGTGTGAATATTGTTCCATTTGGATTGGTCACACAGTTCTCTTAATATTGTTTCATTTCTAGAGGTCCCTTTATCTCTCTCTGCCTCAGCTCCTCTGTATTCCTGTTCTCTGATTTCTATTCCATTAACAGTCTCTTCCACCTCATCCTGTCTGTTCTTAAATCCTCCCATTGTTTGTTTTATTTCTGTTATCTCCCTCGGGAATTCATCCCTTAGCTCTTGCATATTTCTCTGCAGGTCCATTAGCATGCTTATGACTTTTATTTTGAATTCTTTTTCAGGAAGATTGGTGATTTCGGTCTCACCATGTGCTTTCTCTGGTGTTTGAGGGATTTTGTACTGAACCAGGTTCTTCTGCCTTTTCATGGCAACAGAATTGATCGCCGGCAAGTGACACTTGTGTCAGCTTGGAGAACAAAGTCCCTTCCTGCTTACCGGACACCTTGCCTGTCTCTGGTGCCTGTTACAGTCAGCCACACACAGTGAGCAGCCTCTGGGTAAATCCCCTGAGCTGCTGTGGGCGGCACATCCCTTGGGATGGCCTAGGGCACTGGTGGGCTCACAGGTGAGCAGTGCATGTTCACTGCAAGAATAAAGCCCCTTTGTGCCTTCCACATTCTGCATTGGTTTCCACTGTCTGTGCCAGGAAGCCACACACTGTGAATAGCCTCTAGATCTGTCCCAGTTAGCTGCATGCTGGGTGAAGACTTTGTATGGTTGCTGTGGGTGGGGTGCTCCCTGGCTGCTTCACAGCAGTGGTGGGTCGGCTGGTTTGCTTGCAGTGCTGGCAGAAGGGAGTGAACAGCAGGCTGCTTATCGCCATGAGGGGCTTCAGAGCTGTGTTGCCACCCAGGGGTTAGGGTGCCTGAGTGCCTTAAAGTTCCCAACCTGCTGTGCTGAGTGTGCCAGGATGATTTTGTCCACCTGTTAAACTCTTGTCCCTTTAAGACTTTTAAAGCACCCGCTTTTCTTTTGTCCCAGGGCAGCCAGCTGTGGGGACCTGTTCGCAGTCTTTGTCTCGGATTATGCTTTTCCATTTCTCTAATATCCCGTACAGCATGCAATGTGTGTCTGTGCTCCCGGTGAAGATTACTAGGGCTGTTTATTTAGCAGTCCTGTGCTTCCATTCCCTCCTACTCTGATTCTTTTCTTCCCACCGGTGAGCTGGGTTCGGGGGAGTGCTTGGGTCCCACTGGGTCATGGCTTTCTATCTTACACTTTTCCATGAGATGTTGAGTTCTCGGAGATGTAGATGTAGCCTGGCTGTTGTACTGTATCTTCTGGTCTCTGTTATAGGAATAGTTGTATTTGCTGTATTTTCAAAACATGTATGGTTTTGGGAGGAGATTTCGCCACCCTACTCACACCGCCATCTTGAGAATTTATGTCGTATCTTCTTTATCCATTCATTTATCCATAGACATTTAGGTTGTTTCCATATCTTGGATATTGTAAATAATACTGCCGTGAATATCGGGGTGCATATGTCTTTCTGAATTAGTGTTTTGTAGTCTTCGGATCAATGCCACAAAGTGGAGTATTGAGGTCATACGGTAATTCTATTCTTAATTTTTTAAGGGCTCTCCATGCTTTTTTTATGAGGCTTCACCAGTTTATAAGGGTGCACCAATTTATAATCCCACCAACAGTATAAAAGGAAAGGTTCCCTTTTCTCCACATCCTCATCAGTATTTGTTACTATTTTTTTTTATCTTAGCCATTCTAGCAGCAATTAGGTCATATCTTACTGTGGTTTTAATTTGCATTTCCCTAATAATTAGTGATGTTGAGCATTTTTTCATGTGCCTGTTGGCCATCTCTATGTCATCTTGGGAGAAAAGTCCGTTCAGATCCTCTGCCCATTTTTTTAATTGAGTTGTTAGGGGTTTTTTGGTTGTTGAGTTGTATGAGTTCTTCCTATAATTTATTTTTGCTTATCTTTCACATCTCAGTGTTGTCATTTTATCCACTGTTGTGGTGACTCTGTTCATTTGATTTTCAGGCCCCTTTCAAAGGGAATTACTCTATATATAGTTGTAAATTTGTTGTGTCTGTGGGAATGGGGGGAATTCAGGATCTTGCTATGTATGCCACTACCTTGAACATAACTCTCCCTCCACTACCAGCACTATGTTTTTAATAAAAATATTCTGTTGATGGATATTTGAGTTGGTTCCAGATTTGTACTGCTATGAGAAGTGCTATTGTGAACACTGTATCTTCATGCTGAAGTTCAGCTTTCAGTACTCAAGCAGATTTGAAACTGGCTATACCAATCTGCACTTCTGCCAGCAGTACATGAGAATCCCAGTTTGCCCACATTCTTGTCAACACTTATTGTTCTTGGTCTTTTTCATTTAGGCCATTCTGGTGAATTGGAAACGTGTTTTTTTTTTTAACACCCCCCCCTTGGCTCATGTCATATTTCTTTTCATCTTATTCTGTTTAAAGGCTTTCCTGTACTTGACTTAGAATAACTTATTTACAGGCAAAATATACCTGGCTTCAACTAGATAGTAGATGATTTTTTTTGTGCACTGTTAAGTAATGAGCATCCAAAGGTGGTTAAGATCTTTGTACCAGGTCAGCCTGAATTGATCATCCTATCTGAAGGACCTGATTTTCTGGCCTGTTAGCCAGACCTCCTCATTTATTCTATTTTGCAGGTAAAGTAACTGAGCCACTTCAGGAACTAGAGACCATCCCAGGTACTCTAGCCAGGCCTCATAGGAGAGCTGATTGTAATTTTCAACCTTTCCTCTCAAGTGAGGCCCTCTGTTAATTCTTTTACTCTTTGATTTACTAAATAATTATTGAATGCATACTGCATAGCATTTACTGGGCTAGGCCTGTTGAGTTCAGTGGCAAACCACCTCCTATTCTAATGACATCCTCTCTCACTTTGCAGGTTATGGCTTTCAAATCACAGCCTATTTCCTCAAGAGAGGGATACACCTTCGCTGCTTTGCGGGATCACAGAGTGCTGGTAAGAAACTGATCTCTTGGGTCATCAGGCATTTTGCACAATTAGCTTGCTCTAGAGGAACGAAGATTCTGACTTGCTTCATTGCCATTGTGAAATTGAAGTACTAATTAAGACTATTACTAAACATTTGTGATTTTTTTTTTCAATTTTCACTGTTTACTGCCAGTCTGAGAAGAGTGAACTGGGCCACGCTAAGCTTCACTTGCCTGCTGCTTCTCAGCACTTTCACTGGGCTTCCAGAACAATTCAGCAGGCAGTTAATTATGAATCACTTCGTCCTTGTCTGTGTGTACCAAGGCCCTGGGATATGGAACAAGTGTGTGCATGAGAAAATGCTTTCCCAGCCCTGGGCTGCCAGAGCCTTCCTAGGTGTGTGATGAGGCCAGCTTCCCCCTTCACTTCCCCAAGTCAGCATGTCCACTGAGGAAATGATGTCAAACATGTCTACCCAACAACAACAGTTAGATGCTAATGACAGCTCTCCAGATTGGTCCGAGCATTGGAAAGAAAACCTAGCTCAACTTTCTTGGATGATTTTTAGTATATAAGATAGGAAACCGGGACTTTAAAAATTAACTGTACAGAGGTTTGCTTTTGGAATTTTCAGTCATCTGTGCTTTTTAAATTGTCACTCAAATATAATATTCTCCTAATGGGGCCTTGCACATTGTTCAATTCTTTCAGTAAAGCTGGTTAACCTTCTATCTGTTAAAGTACAGCCTTCCTGCCTCTGTAGCAGGGATATGTGTTTCCTAAATCTTTATTTAAATATTAGAAGAAGATAAATCTCAGTTATGACCTAAACAGAGCAAAGAAGTTGAAGGTACAGAAGTTGCCTTCTGTTTATACAGTAGTTGGCACCAAAATGTTCAAAATCTGCCATTCTAGCATTCTTACTGTTCAGAGGAAGAAACGGAAGGAAAAAGCAGGAATTATTTGATAGAACTGATCATTTTTAATTCTAACTAACTGATTTTCTAACCAATAATTTTGATCCATCAACAAGTTGTTTTTTTATGTTATGATTTTTTGGGGGGAGGGGAGACATAAATACAGAATTCTTTGGCTCAGTTTCCCCTTCCATAAAGCAGGAAGAGCAGACTACTTACCACTTACCTCTATCAGAAATTTTAAGAATTAAGGAATAAATAGTAAGTGCTTTGATTAGTTTGTTTTTCTGGCTTTTCAAAGTCCATCCTTAGTCACCTAGCAAGACATAACATCTATGAGGTGTCAAAATTTAAACCTATTCAGGTCTCCTGAAATGGGGGTTTCTACATGAGGAGGACTCATTGCAGGGGGACCAGAGTGACAGGTTAGGCCCCATCTTGGAGGGCTTTGAAGGTGTGCATGCCCTGTGGTGGGCGCTGAGAGCCGCAGTAGGGTTTAAGCAGGGAAGGTGGAGCTGGTCTTTCAGAACTGGCAGCCTACTTGCACTGAGTAGGATGAATTGACATAGGAAAGCGTGATCACCAAGGAGACCGCAGTGGTCCAGGGAAGAGGTAGGGAGGGAGCAGTTCATCGAACATGAACTCATTAGGCTTGGTGTGATCTAACCTAGCCAAGTGGTATAAGGTGCCGTGTTTAAGCTGTGTGTCTGCGTAATTGACACCTTCACACTCAGCTTGGGAATGCATCAGGTTGAGGGTTGTTATCCTCTCAGCTAGTGTCTCACATCATCATTCGTTGTTGGAAATGTGCAGCATAGAGAAAAGGCTTCATTTATCTGATTCATAATATCCATCTTTAAAAAGTTGTTCGTATCTAAGAGAAAAATAATCATACCCCCCCTATTAATACAAACACTGAAATAAGGGCAGGAGATGAAGACACATATCTTATGCATATATGCTTACTGTCGTAACATAAAAATCTGGGACCAAGCTTTTCTGTGTTCAGTTTTTTGAAGCATTTTGTAACTTGATTTTCATTTTGTACAGATCTCACTTTCTTTTAGAAAAATGGTTTTATTTCTGTTATAAATATGACACCTGTGTGTTATAAAAATGTTCAAGCATTACAAGCAAGTATAAAGAAGGGAGGTAGAGACCTTCACACCCACCCAGAATGTAAAATGTTAACATCAACTAAACATCACTCCAGAAGCAGGTGAAGGAATGAATGGATAGATGGATAGACAGATGAGAGATACAGATGGCATCTACCATTTTATATTCCTTTAATTGAATGTTGAGAAGGCCAGGTCTGTGATTCACTCAGCCTTCCCCACCTGGAAGTCAGTGGTTTTGCCCTAAGAAGGTGTTGTAATAGATTACTGTGACTATGGTGTAGCCATATCATCTTTAGGTTTGCATATTTAACCATTTACTTAATACTTCAATCATGAATTCCTAATTAACGATGCTGCGGTGTTCATAGCCTGACTCTGAATCAGAGTTTGCCCTCCAGTTTAGGGACCTAAGATCAGTTGACCAAGGAGATGGTAAGTAAAGTAGTAAGAACATTGACGATTTTCATTTTCAGATTTTATCTCACGCTCTTCCTCTTCCCATGTGGGTCTGTACACTTGTTAGAAAACATTGATCCTGTTTACCAAATGTGAGTTCTGAACAGAAAACGGCAAACTAACACAAAGGAAAGGCAGAGAAGACCCTGCCTGGGGTTTCATGTGATACAATATAATGGTCCAGGGGCTCAGGTGTACCAATTTGCAGCCTCGCCTGCTCTCCCTAGAGCTTTGTCCCGCCCCGCCCTATTGATGCAAACACTGCAATGAGGGAAGCAGGGAGAGAGACACAAATATTATGCAAAAATGCCTATTGCTGTACCTTAAAAATCTGGGACCAAGCATTTATTTTCATAGTTTTTGAAGCCTTTAGTGACTTGATTTTCTTCATTTTGTACAGAGCTTCGTGTATTCCCCGAAAGATTTGTGGTCTGTGTAAGTCAGCTTTCATTCAGTCGTGATCTCGTGGCAAGTCGGAATGAAGAACTGGTATGTACAAAAACATTCTATAAACGAATAAATCTGCTTAAATGATGAGTTATTGTAAAAATAGAAGAAAGAATTGTCTTATCATTAAACTATTGGGCATTCAGTGCATGTTTTAAGGGACCAAACCTGTCCTACCTATTTTACATGATAATATTGATTAGTTGATGTGTTTCTCCATTTGTTTTCTGAAGACCCCCTTGAAAATTTAGTTTCACCAACACTATCTTTTCCATGTGAATTTTGAGTAAGAAAACAGAACATCACAAAAACTGTGATAGTGCTTTATGACAGTATTTAAATGAAATAAAGCAAAGTCTTTAAATGAAATGAAGCAAAATCCACATGTTTCCACTGGAAGCTTTCACTGGGGTCAGTGGCTTTTGAATTTTATTCCATGGTGAATCACTGGCATTTTCATGAGAACCAGCACTTTTCCCCAGTGTGTTATTTCTTAGCTGATAGGGCTTATTTTTTCTCTTTCTCATGCATACAAACATTTTTCATGTATTTCGACATATGACTTGAAACTTTCATGTAGAGGGTAAAAAATGGAGCAGACATTAAACCTGGACATGAAGTATGACATGATTATTATGCTTCTAAAAGTAATTTATGGGAATATTAGATTACCCCTTATGTTTATTCTTTTTTAGTCCATGAGACTTGAAAACTGGGCCACATGGTCTAACATCAGCTTCTTATCTCATCTTAAATAAATACACAGGAAAAGTGTTTTAGAGATTAGAAGGATGAATAGAGACCCAGGAAAAGTAAAAAGCAGAGAACTCATATTTAGATGCCATCTTTTGGATCAGATGAGCCCTTCAGAGAAGCTAGTGTAACCCTTATTTCTTCATCAATCAATAAAACTCTAGGTACACACAGTAAATGAAATAAATGAAGCAAATCTAGTGAATAGTATTAGAAGTTTATTCTTTGTAATATTTCTAGAATTTTGAGTTATCTTAGTAAATTAATAAGTATAAAAGTAGTAATGGTGTTGGCAGACAACTGTAATATACTTAACTGATTGTCAGAGCAATGAAGAAATTGATCTATGATTTAAGAAAATAATAATTAACTGTACCAGAAATAATTATTGCTTTCAGATGGAGTATAGAAGAAACTAGATCTTGTATGTATGATATGTAATATTAATACTTAACATCTTAAATTATTAAGGGTGAATTAAAACATCTCAATGTAAATGAAATATTATCCTCCTTAGGGGCCCTGGTATTTATACAGATCTAAGTTTTCTATAGCTGTTGTCATATAAATCCTGTAATTCTGGAGGACATCCTAAATGTTAAGAATTTTCATTCTGACAAGTTCACTAGCCTGAACCTTTTACATCTGCCAGTTCATTTTTCTTATCTGCAGAATGTTCTGACATCTAGTGATAACGCTGTCAGAGTCACAGTTAGCCAAATTAGCTTACAAGAAAAATGCCAGTTACATCATGAGGATCATTCATTGTTTTGATTTGTCAGTCTCTGTCTCTTGAGCTGCTCTTCACATAAACTTTCCCAGGCACGCGCACCAGAGTCTCCTAGCCCCCAACACCACTGAACGGCTCACCTGTGCGCCTTCCCTCCCCCAGGCCTCCAGTCCAGCACCTCCTCATTTCCCCTGTTGTTCCCAGGAGCAATAACCTATCCAGGTCAGGCAAAGGGCTCTTCCCTACAATTGCTTGTCAGGCCTGCAGTGTGGTCCTTGCATCAGAAGTGCCTTGGCGCTTTTACCTCGGTGATCTTTGACCCTTGCAGAGTCTGCCTGGCTCGGCTATTTAAGAATCAATAAACCAACCTTCCCTCCCAGAATTACTTTCTGCCTGCGAGAAGGTATTCTTACTCCCCCTTCAACACTCCAGATGCCCAAAGCCAGGGATGACTGGCTCTCATGTGAAGATTCCTTGAACTTCCTTAAAGCTTTGAATTCTCCAATCAGTTTATACTGATGGTCAACAAAGGGCAGGATCCATGTCATTTCTTGTACTTATTCTCCAGGAACGTCTGACTTGGCGAGGCCTGGGAAATTGGCTTCATGAGGAGCTGTATTGGAGACACGTCCTTGGTAGTAAGCGTTATTTTCTTCACTCTCCCAAGGCCCCAGAAGTGACAGAGGGGGCAATGCCCTGAGCACAAGCCCAGGCACCTTGCTTGTGTGGGAGCCTGGGTAACAGATTCCTTTTCCTTTATCTTTTTGTTGTTCTTTTTGGATCCTCTGACTAAATAATAATTGGCAGGGAATCTGGGAGTGCCTATTCAGAATTGCTTTGCCAGGGGATTCTTTCAGCCTGTACACAAGGAAGCCAGCTGCACTTAGCTCCCAGTTCTTAAAGGTGGCTGCACAAAAGAACTGCTGTTCCAGATCAAGTAGGACAAAGGGAGTAATCGCCCTCCTTTGGAGGGCAGAGCTAGTGCGGCCATGCCACCCCCTACCCCCCAGCACCAGGGAGGTCTGTTACCCCACTGTCGGCATTTCTCTCATCCAGCTGGAGACGCTGATGCAGGGAGATGCCCCGCGTTGCAGTTGCTGTGCACCAAGGACCCACGTGCCAGGGCTGTGGGAATTGCGATGTGTACTTTGGGAAGAAAGGGCATTATTATGAGATGAGTCACTGTATTTTTCTTACAACAGTTTCTCATAAGAAATCTGCCTGGCTCGGCTATTTAAGAATCAATAAACCAACCTTCCCTCCCAGAATTACTTTCTGCCTGCGAGAAGGTATTCTTACTCCCCCTTCAACACTCCAGATGCCCAAAGCCAGGGATGACTGGCTCTCATGTGAAGATTCCTTGAACTTCCTTAAAGCTTTGAATTCTCCAATCAGTTCATACTGATGGTCAACAAAGGGCAGGATCCATGTCATTTCTTGTACTTATTCTCCAGGAACGTCTGACTTGGCGAGGCCTGGGAAATTGGCTTCATGAGGAGCTGTATTGGAGACACGTCCTTGGTAGTAAGCGTTATTTTCTTCACTCTCCCAAGGCCCCAGAAGTGACAGAGGGGGCAATGCCCTGAGCACAAGCCCAGGCACCTTGCTTGTGTGGGAGCCTGGGTAACAGATTCCTTTTCCTTTATCTTTTTGTTGTTCTTTTTGGATCCTCTGACTAAATAATAATTGGCAGGGAATCTGGGAGTGCCTATTCAGAATTGCTTTGCCAGGGGATTCTTTCAGCCTGTACACAAGGAAGCCAGCTGCACTTAGCTCCCAGTTCTTAAAGGTGGCTGCACAAAAGAACTGCTGTTCCAGATCAAGTAGGACAAAGGGAGTAATCGCCCTCCTTTGGAGGGCAGAGCTAGTGCGGCCATGCCACCCCCTACCCCCCAGCACCAGGGAGGTCTGTTACCCCACTGTCGGCATTTCTCTCGTCCAGCTGGAGACGCTGATGCAGGGAGATGCCCCGCGTTGCAGTTGCTGTGCACCAAGGACCCACGTGCCAGGGCTGTGGGAATTGCGATGTGTACTTTGGGAAGAAAGGGCATTATTATGAGATGAGTCACTGTATTTTTCTTACAACAGTTTCTCATAAGAAATCTCAAAGCTCTTGTAGTCTCAGTTTTTGACCTGTTGCTCGAAATGAAGCTGGGAAGTCTTTTTGAGAGTTTTTACCTTTAGTTTTGTTGGTTTTCTTCTCCACTCACATTCTTTTTCCTTAGAAATACAAAGAGCATAAAGTAAAATTTAACTGCATTCCATTATATTCCATTCCAACAATATTTTCTTTCATATTTACAAACCCAAGTCCCTGAATAGAAATTGTTTTCTTCCTCAGACATAGAGCCCTGTGACTTTAGGGAAATTCAAAATAATTTATTATTTTTATTATTTCTTCATTAAATTAAATTACCAATAACCACCAAAGTCATTACCTTATAAAGTAATAATTTTAATTGTGTAAATTACCAGAGAACTCTGTATATATCTGGGACATTTCAGGGACATTACCCAAAGCTATTATGTCATACCGCATTGGTGTTAACAGCCACTCGTACTCTCTGGAGACCCTTCCCATCTGTTCTTACCATCACATTTCAACATAATTTGGAGAGTGCTGGCTGTATGCAAGGAGCTCTGGTAGGCACTGGGGAACAAAGAAAAATAAGAAAGTGCCTTGCCTTCAAAGAGCTTACAGTTTGAGAAATCAAGGGCACTGAGAGTTACTCTGGTGACCTACAAATGTAACACAGGCACACCTTGGAGATACTGTGGCTGCAGTTCCAGACCACTGCAGTCAAATGAGTCAAATGAATTTTTTGGTTTCAGATGAAACTTTTGGCATATAAAAGTTATGCTAATGTAGTTTGTTATGTGTGCACAATAGCATTATGTCTGAAAAAACTGTACACACCTTCATTTAAAAATACTATGTGGCTAAAATATGCTAACCATCACCTCAGCTTTCAATAAGTCATAATCCTTTTGCTGGTGGAGGGGCTTGCTTCTGTGTTAATGGCTGCCGACTGATGAGGGTGATGATTATACTGAAGGTTGGAGTGACTGTGGCAATTTCTTGAAATAAGACAACAGTGAGGTTTGCCACGTCAGCTGCTTCTTCCTTTCACGAATAATTTCTCTGTACATGTGATGCTTTTTCGCAGCATTTTACCCACACTTCCTTAAAATCCTGGTGTCAGTCCTCCCAAATCCTGCTGTTGCTTTATCAACTTAGTTTATGTACTTTTCAAAATCCTTTGGTGGCATTTCAGCATCTTCACAACATCTCCACCAGAATAGATTTCATCTCAAGAAACTGTTTTCTTTGTTCATACCTCAGAAGCAACTCCTCATCCATTCAAGTTTCATCATGAGATGGCAGCCATTCAGTCACATCTTCAGGCTCCACTTCTCATTCTAGTTCTCTTCCTCTTTCCAACACATTTGCAGGTACTTCCTCCACAGAAGTCTTAAATATCGCGTCCCGCCACCTAGGGCGACGGCAGGAGAACGATCACCAAAGGCCTGGTTCATTAGGAATCTTTATTATGGGCGTCCGAGCATCCATCTAGCGAAAGGCAAAAGCAAAAAACAACCACAACCACTTCCTCCAGGGCAGCAGCTTATATAGCATATCCCAACCAATCAGCTGACTGATCACGCGCCAGGTTCAGTCTTATTGGAAACATGTGAAAAGCATGCTATGAGCACGAGCACGGAAATGGGGACAAGCCAATCATGGAGACTTCCTTATGCGCTGAGCTGTAGGGCCAGGAAGGGTGGTGTCTAGGAAGCAGGCGCCATCTTTAGGGCGTTGTCCAGCTAGAGTGGGGCTCAGCCTCGGCCGTAGGCCGGGCCCCCACATCTCCCCCTTTATTGTTTTATAACCAAAGGGCTGTCGGGATCATGCCTGTCTTAGGTCGTCCGGAGTCTGCGGCATTCTTACCCGTCCTCAGGCAACAGACAACTTAGGTCTGCGCCCTGTCTTAGGTTGATATGCGCAGCTCCCGATCTTACCCGTCCTTGACTACTGATCCAGCATATTAAGCCATACTCTAGGGGAGATGCCTTCCTCTAGCGCTGCCATGGCCTGCAACAGGACCTTCCGTTCTCCCCATTGCTGTTTTTGTATGGAACAGACTTTCCTCCCAAGCAGGAGGAGGCCCACAATTAGCAATATTCCTATGACACCTACACCTGACCAGGCTTTGGTGGCGTTTAACACAGCTTCAGCTATTTGAGCTACGGAGAGCATCTCTACCTTCTTGGAGCTAACATTCAAAATTTCTAACCGTAGCTGAGTGGTGAGCTCGTCAAGCTCACTGGACCAATTTGTGGTTAACATCTTGCCTAACTGTCTGGACAAGTTGGCAGCTTTAGAATAATTATGAAAAGGAATACCAGTAATACACCCCCGTATAAGAATGGACGCAGCCCACAGACAAAACCTCCCCCAAGAGGTCCAATTGTTCTTGAAGAAGGTTCATGCGTTGGTTGACCAAGGCCATCCCATTCTTAAAATGGCCATTGATGACGTTCTGCGCTGTCATTGCCGAGGCAGTGGCCTGGGACAGACCATTCAGCGTCTCTGCCGTAGGAATGGTGATAGTCAGCGCGGCAGTGGCTGCAGCTGCAGCTCGGCTCCACCGTCGCCTGCTGTAGGATCCACGGCAGGAGCAGAAGCAGTGCGATCATCTTGTACCTCCGCTCCGGGGTTTTCCACTCTGCGTATCAGACGTTCAGGCACCCAAACGGGGTTCTGCTGGTCCTGTGGAAAAACACAAACCGAGCCTCGGGTCCAGATTATCACTGGGTCCGGGCCTTTCCATGTTCCTTCCAACACATCCTTCCACAAAACTTTAGGCATGTGTTTTGGATTGGATTGTTGGCCGTGCCGCTCTGCTGCACTGCGGCCATTTTTGTCCAGTGTTAAAAAGTTTAAAATGAATAATATGATGTTTAATTTGTCTCTGGGGGATCTAAAGTCTTCTCCTATTCCCCCTTTTTGTTTATATAAGGCATTCTTGAGGGTGAGGTGGGTGCGTTCCACCATACCCTGACCCTGAGGGTTGTAGGGAATGCCGGTAGTATGTTTGATGTCTAGAGTTTTGACAAAGGTAAGGAATGGTTTGGATGAATACGCTGGCCCATTGTCCGTTTTCAGATGCTTGGGCTTTCCCCAGGCCGAAAATGCTTGCAAACAATGGGAAATGACATCCCGAGATTTCTCCCCCGTGTGGCAGGATGCAAAGATAACACCTGAGCAGGTGTCCACAGACACATGAACATATTTCATCCTGCCAAATTCGGGGATGTGAGTGACATCCATTTGCCAAATGTGGTTGGGAAGCAATCCTTTTGGGTTAACCCCTATGGGGGTAGGGGGAAGAAGCGATACACACCACTTGCAGCTGACCACTATGGCTCTCGCCTGTTCTCTAGTGATCTGGAACTTCAGGCGGAGGGTGGTGGCATTAGCGTGAAATTTCTTGTGAAATAGATTGGCCTGTTCCGCAGGGTCTGTTACCACAAACATAGTAGATTCCCTAGTCAGGGAATCTGCGCGATGGTTTCCCTCGGCGAGGGGCCCCGGAAGGGAGGTATGAGCTCTTATATGTCCAATGAAAAAGGGGTCTGAACGGTCCCAAATTATCTGCTGTAGGCATCTAAGAATATTTAAGACGGATGAGGAGGGGTTAATGTGACCTGCGCACTCTATTGCAGAGACGGCATTCACTACATACTGGCTGTCTGATAGAAGGTTAAAGGGTTCCTTTGGAAAGAGCTCAAATGCTCGCATCACTGCCAATAGTTCTGTCTGTTGGGCCGAGGTAGTCGCGAACTTGAAGGTCCACGAGCCATCATCAGTGACTATGGCCCCAATGCCAGTTTTAGAACCATCAGTGAACAGTACTCTTACTTTAGGTATGGGTTTATGTCTGGTGTTTCTCGGGAAAACAACTGGGTTAGACAAGCAAAATTGTAGCCACGGATGCTTTGGGTAATGATTGTCAAAGGAGGCTTGAGAGACGGTGTGTACAATGGCCCATGTGTCACAACAAGAGGCAAGGCACTCTAACTGTGTCGCTGAGTATGGAGTTATGATAATAGAGGGCGCTATTCCAAAGGTTTTGACTGCCACCTTGATTCCCTTGAGGATTAAGTCCGCTATAGACTGTGGGTACCAAATCAATGTCTTTCCTGGTGAATGAGCTAAATACACCCACAGAAGGGGTCCCTCTTGCCAGAGCATGCCTGTGGGGCTATGATTGCTGGGAAGCGTAATAAAGGAAAGAGGTTTCTGATAATTTATTCTATCCACTTGAGCAAGTTCTAAACGGGATTGGACGAGTTCCAATGCCCTTCTTGCCTGATCAGTGAGTGAGCGGGGTGATGTTAGATCTGGGTCACCTCTCAGTATAGCATAGAGAGGTTGGAGCTCTTCATCAGTAAGCTTTAGGTAGGGTTGCACCCAATTTATATCACCAAGCAGTTTCTGGAAATCATTAAGATTTTTTAGGTGATCTGTCCTTATAACTATTTTCAAGGGTCTGGCCAGGGTGCTTTCTAATCTCATTCCTAAATAACTCTTGGCACTAGTCTTCTGGATTTTTTCTGGGGCTATAGCCAGGCCCCATTTTTGGAAGTGCGACTGCAAGAAACAGAGACCTTGCTCTAGCTCCCTGCTGCTCTCATGACACAAAAGGATGTCATCCATATAATGATAGATGATCATGTTAGGAAACTTTCCTCTGACAACTGACAAAGCCTTACTCACATATAGTTGACACATAGTGGGGCTATTGGCCATTCCCTGCGGTAATACTCTCCATTCATAGCGCTCATCTGGGCGGTCATGGTTAATGGCAGGTATGGTAAAGGCAAATTTGGCACAATCTTCAGGGTGAAGGGGGATAGAAAAGAAACAGTCTTTGATATCCACAACTATCGTTTCCCAATCCTTAGGCAGGGCCATGGGCAGTGGCAAACCCAGTTGTATTGAGCCCATAAGCACCATCTGCTTATTTACAGCTCTAAGGTCATGTAAAAGCCTCCACTTCCCTGTTTTCTTTCTTATCACAAAAATAGGTGTGTTCCAGGGGGAGGTAGAGGCCTGAATATGCTTGGCAGCAAGCTGCTCCTGTACTAAAGTGTGGGCTGCTTCCTTCTTCTCTTTAGTAAGGGGCCACTGAGGAACCCACACAGGATTCTCAGATCGCCACTGAATCTTTATTTGCTGTTCTCCTTCAGTGGCCCCGAGGAAAAACCCAGCCCGGGCCCTCCAAATCGACTGGGCATAATGTTAGACAAAGGAATGGGCTTTTCTTGACCTGACAAGTTCTTCCCAAGTCCACCTGTCCCGGGGTAGCCCTGTCTTTTCATAATGCAGTTAGACTGTTTGCTGTAGAAAGTTTCCGTGGTCAATTTGAGATTCATTTGGGTTAGTACATCTCTTCCCCAGAGGGACACGGGTATGTTTAGCACGAAGGGTTGAATTATCCCCTCATGCCCTTCTTGGTCCATCCAAGACAGTGAAGCAGCACTACATAGGGGCGCTTGGGCTATCCCGAGTCCTCTTAAGGTTTGTGCAGCTCGATTTAAAGGCCATTCCTTCGGCCATTCATCTTCCTTTATGATACTACGGTCTGCTCCTGTGTCCAGCAATCCTGAGAAATGCCTACCTCTGATCTCTAAGGTGTGCATGGGCCTGGTTCCCAAATCCAATGTAAGACAAGCCAGCAGAGCCCCAGAAGACCCAAACCCTTGCTGTCCTCGAACAGCATTTTTATGAGCATACAAATCATGTTTGCTAGGAAGCATAAGAATTTGAGCAATGCGATCTCCTGGGCTAATAGCCATGATTCCTCGTGGGGAGGAGACCATAATTTTAACTATTCCTTCATAGTCTGGATCTATAACTCCTGGGTGTACTATTAACCCTGCTTTAGTAGTGGAGCTCCGGCCCAATAAGAGACCCACTACTCCTTTTGCCAAAGGTCCCTTAAAATCTGACTCTACAACTTGAACTCCCATCTCGGGGGTCAATACGAGTCTGGTGGTGGCACAGATGTCCACTCCTGCGCTTCCTGCTGTTGCTCTCCGTGATCCCTCGGTGCTGGGTGAACTCCCTGATCTGTCAAAGGGTGGTGAGTTCTGGGTATCTGTTGAACCACCCCATACATTTGCGGGCCCTGAGGTGGAGGGCCCCTCCTCCCGTTTTTTGGCTCTTGAGGGGGCAGCGGTCGGCCTTCCACATCCACCACTGACCTACACTCACTGGCCCAGTGATTTCCTTTTCTACATCTCGGGCATAATCTTGGTTTGGGCCTGCTAGCAGGTTCGTTGGCTTCCTTCAACTTGGGACAATCTCTTTTCAAATGACCCATTTGTTTGCAGTAGAAACAGGCCCCAGGAGGGGTTGACCTGCCACGAGCATCTCTCAATCCCTGAGTTATGGCTGCGGCCATAACCTGTCCTTGCACCACGCTGTCATTAATGTCCCTACAAACCTTAATATAAGTACTCAGATCTTTGTTCTTCCAGGGTCTTATGACCTCCCTACACCATTTGTTGGCCTGCTCATAGGCCAGCTGGTTCACAAGGGGCATAGCAGTATCAACATCACCAAATATGCGACCGGCTGTTTGCATCAGTCTGGCTAGAAAGTCCGCATATGGCTCATGAGATCCTTGCAACACCTTTGACAGCTGACCCTGTAGGTCACCTGTGCCTTGCAGCGTCTTCCAGGCCCTCACTGCTGCCGTGGCTATTTGCATATATACCGCTGGGGGGAATCCTACCTGATTCTGTTGACCCAAATATGGACCCGTGCCCATCAACATGTCTAAGTTCCATTGATGATTACCTGCTGCGGCATTACACCAAGCTGTGTCCTGTGAAAATTCTTGCCAGGCTGTCTTAAATGTCAGGTACTGACCTCCAGAGAGGGCTGCTATTGCTACATTGGCCCAATCATCTGGCGTCAGATTAAGAGAAGCTACTGACTCCACTAAAGAAACAGTGAAAGCTGCCTGGAGGCCATACGTTGTGGATGCTTCCTTCAGACTTTTAATGACCTTGAAATCTAGGGCTTGATGATAACTCTGTTGTGTATTAGGGTCTTCAAATACAGGGAAAGCGGCACTTCCTTGTTCTCAGCCACTCCCTCCACCCCCCTCTTTCTAGTCCTTGATTGCAATCACACGTACGATGACAGGGCTGTATGTGATATGGGGACGGTTCTGCAAATGAAGCCGGAGGAAGAGGGGGTGCTGACGGCACCATTTTCAAGGACGGTTTCAGGGTTGTTGAGAGGGGGGTGTCCTCCGACTCCTCTTCCTCTTTCTGTTGCCTTAGCTGCGTTAGGGAGGGATAACTGCGGGGGATAGGGCGTTCCTTCCTCTGGGCGATTCTAAGTCTCCTTATATGCTTTTCTAATTCCTCCCCCGATAGCTCCCCTTCCTCATCTGTAGATCCTCCTTGCTCGGACCCCCTCTCTGAGGTCCTAGCAGAGGATCTTTCCTCCCGGACATCTTCCAGGACTTCCTCCCCCTCTCTTATAGCCTCTCTGCAGCTTGGCTTATCCTCCTTAAGGCACCCCCTGACTAGACTCCATATAGGAATCGTCCCTACCGGGAGCAGTTCCGCTTGATCTGCTTTGCGCAGATCGTTCCCTAGTCTTTCCCACAAGGGGGCAGTGATCCTTCCCTCATCCAAAAACCACTGCGCATGCTTCTCAACAGTATGTAAGAAAGCCCTCGCGGTTTTAGCCTTTAATGGAGTTCCATTAGCCCTTAGGAGTGCCCGGAGTGGTTCCTCCGCCCGCATCCTAGACACCTCTGAACCCATAGTGCGGAGGAAAGGAGGTTGACTCTATTCTAAGTTGAGGTTACGTGCGCCCGTGCTCGTACCCCTGAATTGAGTCTCCTTACAGCCTGAGAGTCCTCACTAACTGGTTTTCGTCGCTTCCCGCGAACTTTAGTCTACGTCGCTTTACCTGCGAACTTTCCACAGTGCTCTTATTCTTTCGTGAGGAAATGCAGAAACATATACAGACTAAGACAGAACAAGACAAGGAACACAAAGGCTAAACACACACACCACAATTGCTTGCATTCGCACGATCTGATGTTGCTTTCGCTTTGTCCCTGACCATACTCACCACTCTCCAAAATGTCAGTCACTCGTGTAACTCTTCCAAAGGGTGTCCACTCGGATTGCCGCAGGGTGAGAAGTTCCACTCCGTCCTCGGACGCCAGGTTTTCGTCCCGGGTTTCAGCACCAGCTATCGCATCCCACCACCTAGGGCGACGGCAGGAGAACGATCACCGAAGGCCTGGTTCGTTAGGAATCTTTATTATGGGAGTCCAAGCATCCATCTAGCGAAAGGCAAAAGCAAAAAACAACAACCACAACCACTTCCTCCAGGGTAGCAGCTTATATAGCATATCCCAACCAATCAGCTGACTGATCACGCGCCAGGTTCAGTCTTATTGGAAACATGTGAAAAGCATGCTATGAGCACGAGCACGGAAATGGGGACAAGCCAATCATGGAGACTTCCTCATGCGCTGAGCTGTAGGGCCAGGAGGGGTGGTGTCTAGGAAGCAGGTGCCATCTTTAGGGCATTGTCCAGCTAGAGTGGGGCTCAGCCTTGGCCGTAAGCCGGGCCCCCACACTTAAATCCCTCAAAGTCATCTGAGAGTTGGAATCAACTTCTCCTAAGCTTTTGTGAATGTTGATATTTTGACCGTTTCCCATAAATCATGAGTATTCTTAATGGCATCTAGAATGGTGAATCTTTCCAGAAGGTTTTCGGTTAACTTTGCCCAAATCCATCAGAGGAATCACTATCTCTGGTAGCCTATAGCCTTAGAAAATGTATTTCTTAAAGAATAAGACTTGAAAGTTGAAATGACTTCTTGATCCATGGGCTGCAGAGTGGATACTGTGTGAGGAGGCATGAGAACCATAGTCACCTCATCATACATCTCTACCAGAGCTCTTGGGGGACCAGGTGTGCTGTTAGCAACCGATATTTTGAAAGGTATCTTTTTTTTCTGAGTAGTAGGTTTCAATAGTGGGCTTAAAATATTCAGCAAACCATGCTGTAAACAGATGGGCTGCCATCCATGCTTTGTTGTTCTATTTGCAGAGCACAGGCAGAATAGATTTAGCATGATTCTAAAGGGCCCTAGGATTTTTGGAATTTAAAATGAGCACTGACCTTAACATCACCAGCTGTGTTAACCCCTAACAAGAGAGACAGGCTGTCCTTTGAAGCTCTGAACCTAGACTTGACCTCATCTCTGACTGTGACCGTCTTGGATGGCGTCTTCTTCCAAGAAAAGGCTGTTTCATCTACATTGAATACCTGCTATTAGTTAGAGTAGCCACCTGCTTTGATTTTCTTAGCTGGATCTTCTGGATAACTTGCTGCAGCTTTTCCATAAGCATTTGTACTTGGGTGTCATGGAGATGGCGTCTTTCCGTAAACCTCATGAACCAGCCTCTGCTGGCATCCAGGTTTTCTTCTGCAGCTTCCTTATCCCTCTTAGCCTTTCTAGAACTGAAGAGAGTCAGGGCCTTGTTCTGGCCAGAGACTCTGGATTAGACTCTGGATTAAGGGAATATTGTGGCTGGTTTGATCATCTGTCCAGACCAATAAAACTTTCTCTGTATCAGCCATAAGGCTGTTTTGCTTACTTATAATTTGTGTGTTCACTGGAGAAGCACTTTTAATTTCCTTCAAGAATTTTTACCTTTGCATTCACAATTTGGCTCGTTGGTTCAAGAGGCCTAGTTTTCAGCCTATCTCTGCTTTCAGCTGGTTGGTGGAGTAGTCAGAACACACACAACATGTATTGACTAAGTTTGCTGTCGTAGAGCTACAGTTCACGATGCCCCAAAACAATTATAAGAGTAACATCAAAGACTGCCTATTACAGATCATAGTAACTAACATATCAATAATGAAAAAGTGAAATATTGTCAGAATTACCAAAGTGTGACACAAAGACAGGAAGTGAGCCAATGCTGTTGGAAAAATGACTCCGATAGACTTGCTTAACACAAGGGTGCCACAAACCTTCAATTTGTAAAAAATATAATATGTGTAAAGCACAATAAAGCAAAATACAATAAAACCAAGTTGCCAGTAATTCAAAAAGGGCCTCCATAAAAAAAAAATGTATCCATTCTGCCTCTTAATGGTTCAGTTGAATCCTCTCTACTCTTCAGAAGGAAAGTCCAAAATTCTGTTACTTTCTTACTTTTAAATCTAAGCTGTAAAATTCTGTGACTCTTTTAGAAAGTGAAAAATGACATTTAGTATACTGGTGCTGCCGAAAAATGGACATGTACATTAGATGTTTGGGTTCTCTGTCTCATGCTTCCTTTGAGTTGTGGCCAAGCTGTGAAAATAGCCATCAATGTTCTGCAGACCTACTGCAGCCACACAGTGCTGGGTCCTCCTGTGAAGCATCATCTCAGGAGAAGGATTACTGGCATGTCCTGATAAGAGATAATATTTAAGCTCTAAATTGAACACTTCTCTGAAGACAAACTGCTGTTTAATGTTAAAGATTTCTCCTCTTAGTCTGTAAATATAAACCTGAAATGAGACTGCATCTAAAGAAGCAATGAACTACCCTATCCTGGTTATTTTTAGTTTGGCTGTAATAATTGAACCTCTGTGGCCTTAGCCTTCTCTCAGTCAAGGGGGTGGGTGTTGAATGATCTCAAAAATCCTTTCTCACACCGAAGTTCAATCAGAGGAAGCCGATAAAATGTAACTAAATAAAACCATTAAAAAATTTGCACAAAGGAGAACTTTGCTTGTAGATTTAAAAATTGTGATAGAAAGATTTGGGGTAGAGTTAAATTTTATCTTGGGGAAGATAAACATAAAACATAAAAACATAAGGGCCATGTTTTTAGAATAGAAGAAATAAGTTACTTAGCAAATTGACTATGCATTAACTTTTGTGCCCTGGTGACAGAATTAACTTTCATAAGGGAACTTTTGCATAAGTATAAATCAGATCATTCAAGAAAAGAACTCTTTTATATAAATAGTGAGTTTTTCTAGGTTTTTCATTATGTATCATAGACTTTTTAAGGATCCATTCTTCTCATCTTATTGTACTTCCTAGACAATGCTAGTGGTAAATTGCATTGACACCATTAACAAGAGAGTCCTGTAGCACTAGGAACAGTTCCTCAAGTGGAAAGAGGTCATCTCCAGACATTGCCCATAGTGTTGTGAACTTAGATTTTTATTTAATAACTGCTTTCCAAAACTGTAAATGTGCATTTTATGAAAAATTTTAGAATCCAAGTTTATACAAAGAAAGTAAAAATTATCGACAACTCCCAACCCAAGCTAGCCTTTGTTAATGATCGTCTGTACCCTTCCATATTTCCTACTTGATAACGGAAGTCAGTGTGTATTTAACTAGGGCCCATTCATTTGTGAATTGTGTGCTTGTGTCCATTTTTATGTTGGTATTTTTGTATTTTACAAACTCCTTACTATATAAAAACTCCTTACATAGTAAGGAAAGTAACTTTCAGTGAGTTTATCACTTACCTTTCAATTATGTGGCATTGCTGTGTGGGAGTTGTCTGTGTCCTCAGTTTTATGGTTTCCATAATGATTTCTGCCTTTGATGATCTTGATGTTAAGGTTTTCAAAGTTATATATTTACTCATTTTTTTCCTGGTATTATGGAATTTAGTTTGTAATGAAAGATAGTTTTTATTCTGTTTATTGATTAGTATTGTGCTAATATGGCTTTTGGGTTTAAGGGATAAACATGCCTCATCTGCCCCATGTTTAGTGGGGCCTTGCTGTCAGGGCACACATCAGAGGCTTCTCTAGGGACCAGCCTCCCTCTTTGCCCCTGAAACAGCAGGACCTCACTGATGCTCCCAGTCTTAACTGCTGCCTCCCTGGGCTGACTGCCACTCAGCTGTGGCCAGTGTCAGTGTCAGGACATGGTCAACAGATAGGTGAGGAACAGATTAGGGCCATGCCCTAAGGAGGCCTACAGATGGGCCATTTTCCTTGGACAGAGATGGAAACTCTAGCAGCCACCATCACACACCTGCCCTTAAATGGACTGGCAAGTGGGTGATCCTAATGAAAATTATGGTGGGGATGAGAATCTTCTCGGTTGGTTTGTTGTGTCTAGAATAGTTTTTATAGACTATGACAAAGAAGATTAAAGATTTTTCTCATGTGAAATCATTTTTTCAAGGATTAACTGTCCTTTGCCTGTATGTTACAGTAACCTGAGGTTATGCTCTCCTTTCCTAATAATGAAATTCTCCCAAATGACTAGCCAGCAGTATTTGTGAATGAGATGGTTCATGCTTCTCCTGCTCCAGCCCCCCAGAGGAGCCTGCCTTTTGCTAAGTTAGAATAGGATAGAGTGAGTAAGTTGGAATAGGACATGTCTGAATTAGAATAGATAGATAGGATAAATTAGAATCATATGATCTGGGCCCTCCAATCTCTTGTGCTTTCTCCCCGTAATGTGCCTTTCCTAGTACACAGACCTGTAATCACCCTTTGATACCCACTTAGATGAGTAAGATGGTTTTGAATTAGGAAAAACGTGGTGAGGAATAGAACAAGGAAAAAAGCAATCAGTTAGAAGATCTGGATGGCCTGGCACAAGTCATTTGACTTCTTGTTAACAAGTCCCTTGACTTGTTGAGCAGAGGGAGAGTGATGCCTGCCATACAAGCCTCCCCAAGTTTTCCTGAGATCAAGTGAGATAATGAATATAAAAATGCCTTGTAAACTCTCAAGTGCTTAGGCAACTTTAATTATTATCATCATTTCCATTCTTACCTAAAGAGGAGTTCATTTAAATTCCATTAACCAGACTAGCACATTGCTAGTCATCTTACCCTCCCTCCTAGAAGTGAGAAGAATACCTGGTACTATCCATCGGCACATATTATTTTCCCTAGAAGCTCCAGCACCCTCATTTTTTGTTTGTCTCCACTTGCCAGCCTGGCTTCACTTTGCAGCTATAAAAGCTTAAGTACCAAGAAGTAAAGTGATAAACCCCCATTTGGCCAGCAAGTCAGAGATGAAAAAGGGGATTCAATAAGAGCATAAACTTGTCACCTTCAGTGGGAGCTCCTTTAATCAACAGCCAGAGCAGGAGGAAGGAAAACAGGAACCACCCCGGTGGAAAGCCTTTCTCGCCAGCAGCTGCCAGTAGATCCACAGTGAGAGACGGTTTTGGAGGAAGGGCCCAGTCACTGCTGTGAGGCACAGAGG